GTCTTAGTAATTCCTTTTTGAATTGCTTAACATCATCATCATTGGGTAACAGTTTGGTTTTATCATATTTTCGCAAAAATCGAATTAATTTATCCCTTAACAATTGCATTTTTTCCATTTCATAGATTTTTAAACCTTTCACACATTTAGTTTATGTTTTATTTCGTTTTAGATATCTCGAGAAAGCATAGATATCATGAAGGAGCATTTCCGCACTGATTTGAAAAAGGAAGATTGGAAGCTGATTGTTGAACTAAAGAAGTTGCTTAATATTTTGTAAATGATACCTTTTGTCTTTTCTCCTCGAACCTTGTCTTTTCATCATTTTGCATCTATATGCTCGCGAAATGCCGATGGACGTCCAGTTCTTTTCTTCGTATGTATATCTATGCAGGTCTTATCTCCATTATATAATCGCTCCCTAACAATATGTCTGGCTTGTGAATATGCTAGCATTCTAACCACTAAATCACCTTCCTTTTCCCGTTGTACAAAATAACGGAAGCACAAACTTAGACACATGCAAATAAACAATTAGTATTTTGAATCATGTCTAATGATCTGCCCGATAAATGTATACTCACTAATATCTTTACTTAACAACAGCTGATAGAAGTGCACACGGAGTATCTTTTGTCTACCTCCAAAGAGCTTGATTTCAATACAAGCCTGTCACTCTCAGGGTGATTGAATATACATTTCCAACATTTTTTTTGCCCTACTAGGCTATCACTCAAGGCCGTGACAAATTCGTTGCCAATATTTTACGCTTTTGTGTCATTCATTTATATACGTTACTCGTATATTTGCTAGTTTCTCCATGATTCAGTACTTATTTTGACCTACGCCAAACAAAAGTTGATAGATTTGAGTTTATTATTCGGATAGTTTTTTATTATAATGAATGTTAAGGGAGAAGTTGTATTCATATTTATGTGGAATTGTATCACTCATTGAGATCTCATTACTTCGATTTTTTAGTTACATGCACAATTTAATGGATTTGTACAACGAACGACACCTTGATAACTAAGTCATGAGCATTGTGTCTGCTATTCAGCATTTACTGCATTTTGGAAAACAGCTTGAATGGATCAGAAATTCAGGTCCTTTGTACACTTAATTTTTCATTTGAGGATTCTATTAATATTCCTATTCATTCCGGACGGTCTATCTCGAGAATTTCTCCTCTGACTTAAAATTACATCGGCACACCCTTAATGTTCCTCATGAAGGTTTGTCCTATCTCTGCCCCCCATTCTGAGCTAGTTGCTTATCTCCCGAGGACTCATAAAACCTCCGGAATAGATTACTGCTTGCCAGATCTTTTAAATGCAGTCCTACATATCATCTGACACATCGCCGTTTCTGCAGTCATCTGAGCTTCAGACCTAGGGTCTGCTCGAGAAGCGGTCAGCCAGCGACTCCAAATGATTCGGTTAATCGGCTATGTCAAATGGATGAGGGCCTGGCCAAATTGTATGGCTAATCAACTCGCACACTGGGACATCCATGATTAGCCAAAGATATTCAAGCATAGCGTTGGTTCTCTATACCTCTTTTGCTTACTTGTCAATCATCTTTGGCTAGATGTGAAGATCAAGCTAGTGTGACACTTGGTATGGTCGCAGACTTCTTTCAAAGTATAGAAGTAGGTCGACCTCGTTTTCGCAACTTGATATTGTTGTTATGGCGACTTAGTTGAACGCACCTTGTCCGAAGTCCTTTGAAATAGTAGTTATCATAATACCAAGCGTTAGACCGTGGACTTGGTACGTTCTCAGCCGTTTTGCTGGCATCGTATTCGGCATCATCAGTGAGTAATCATTTACAGCACCATGCTACAACTCGTTAAAGGATTGACTTCACTTGACTTGTCTCTGACAAATTGTAGCTTGATTTTGAGGGTGGCAAGACTTCCTGATGAGGCCGGTGAAACGCCTGAGAATGTACCGAGTCCATGGTCTGACGCTGGTAAGTATGCTAACTACTATAGTAGAGTTGGGACAAGGTGAGTTCAACTAAGTCGCCATAACAACAAGACCAAGTTGCGAAAACGATGTCAACCCACTTGCATCCTTGGCTTATTCATTGAACATAGATTGCATTGTAGATACGAAAAGTGAGCGGGTTTCGATGAATCTCCTTAAATAACGTTGTTGGGAGGACTTTCGTTTTGTATGAAAGTGCATGGAGAAAATATTCGTAGGTCGATCTCACCAGAATGGGGTGGTTGAATTTCGTTGAACTGTAGCCGTTTGACTCTTATATGACGTTAACGCTGACGCAGTCCACTTCAATCATTTTCCCCTTGAATAAGAGAAGCAGTTTCAGCTTCAAAGGCTTTCGTCATACACCGGATCGCCAGATTAGGCGTCACGGTAACTTGTTCTGGATAGACAGATGATGACATCGCATCTTTGTTGAGTTTTGGATGGCGTATAAGGTCGGCAGAAAGTATCATGGCGTAATGATTCCAGTATCTGTTGTGAGAGCGGACTCTGCGTAGGCGTGCAACTGGTACGTATTGTTGGGTGCAGATCCATGTCTAAAGCAACCATGAGATGAGGGCCAGAGTAGATCATGCGCGGCTTTCCCCGCAAACCGCCCAAAAACTATCAGTTCTTGGTAGGGCTGGTGCCAAGTCCACCAGTAATGTAACTGCTCTAGCAGTTATGTTGAAAAGTCACATTCGTTGCTCTCAACAAGTGACCTTTGCTGATGTCGCAGCTATAAGGCCACTCGGCTGAGTGCAAGATGTTCGGGCCAGACTTGTTTAAGTCACTGCACACAGACATAAGTTTCTTCACAGAAGCGAAGATCCCTTCTACTTGCGGTTTAAGCATCTCGAGGTGCCTGGGGTTAGTCGGATATCAGTGCCGAAAGAACGTCAGGTCATCAAGACGCTGGAATAACTGAGGTTGATCATACAAACGATTGAAGTTAATTCATTTAGCTTATCCTATGAAGTAGGACAGATTCGGTCTACTTGTTATGTAAAATGACCTAGCTATTAAAACACTGTTTAAGTAGTAGATGAATCTATGGGTAAATCTATCTTAGGCCAGACTGAAGTTGGATCTTTGCTCTGAATTGTTCGGTAGTGGCTGTCAACCGACTGATTGTTAATAGGATGCATCGGAATTCAGACCTCGGGTTCACCTCGTTGGGGTTAATTATCGTTAACCTTCGAAAGAAAGTACAGAAAATGATTCACCTATTGGACCATACAGGCTTCTCTAGGACTGAGATTTGATGGCCAAATTCGGTACAAGGACGCAACGGGTGATGTCCAGGTGGATTCCGATCTTAATTATATTCCAAATGTTGCGTGTTTCTCGGGTACATTAATAGTGTGTCCTATTCTCGGATGGAGTGACCGGAGAAATTATAGGTCGCCTAAAAGCAGTTGTCACGCGGTAAACTATAGCTAGCCCTCTAAGGGTTATTCATCTAACAGAAGACCAATCAGAAGAAAGTTGCAGTTATATATTTGCTGCAAGAGATAATAAGTTAGCGCCTAGATTGAAGAATAAACGAATGAAAAGTGGTGCCACAGGACGCTTGAAATTGGCGCATGCAGCTTGCCTGTTTAACGTCTGCCTTCAAGTCGCCGTGTACCTGTGTCTTTCTGTCCAGACAACAAGAGGGGGGCTACATGAAATCCCGGACTAGTGTAGTGAGACGCAGGAAAGGATGAGGTATAGGGAACACTTACACGTATCATTGCTATTAGCAAACATGAGTAGAAATCTCAGGCGGAAAGAAAGCTTATGCACATTTTCATGTATATTTATATGCATCGTAGTGAGCGCGTTTTGGAATTGAATGAAAAGTTAGCAGGTCGCAAGCGGTTTTATAAGTAAAACATTCTAAAGTCAACGTAGGCATGTGTTTGCCACAATCGGCCAAGGCGAGTCCGAAATTATGAGTGTACTTTTCACGTGTATAAATAATTGGCATGTGTACGTGATTTGTTGCAAGACAATTCGCCACTTGCCCGTTAAATACACAAGCCCATTTTAGAAATAAAATCATCTCGCACGTTGTAGCACTATTAGAGAGAGTCTTAAACAACATGATCTCTTTCACTCATTGCCCAGACCAAAACTTATAATTCAGGCTTTGTTGTTTCTCCTCACGTAGTAGTTGCCTCTCCCTCGACCTCTCGGCCGCATTAGGGCACAGATACGAAACCAAGCAAGTTCACATACAAATGCGTGTTTTCGTATACGGGACTACCGCATACACGCACGGGATCACTCTGACTGCTTCATTTGCAGACGACCATCGAAACGAGAGGATCATTTAGGAGGGCTCAGAGAACATGATCTTCCACCTGAGAATGAGGAGGAAAAATGCAAGCAATGGAGAAACGATGAATGAATTCGAAATTAGGCGACCTGAGTGTGTCGGTACACTAATTTCACTCTGCCAAACGTAAGGGTAAACTTGCAGACAGACAAAAAGCCATTTTACCAAGAGCATAGTGAGGCGATAACTCACAGCAACTGCCTTCATCAGTAGGACGGTTAGAGTAATTATGATCCTCATTCCTTGTGACAGCCAAAATCTTTACAATGCTGGATTGAAATGTGTAGTAATAGGCGAAATGAAACAAATCCAAGGGAAAATGGTTGGTCTGCACTGCCTCCACGTTCCCGACGTTGAAGCCTTAGAATAAATGCAAGCTTGGATAACGGTAGGCATGTAAACATCTACTATTGCAAATGAACATGTCGAGTGTGTAAACAAAGGAGAGCAGGAGAGATAGAGGAAAATCAGATTTTGGGAAGCCCTTCGGCTTATTTAGGAGCGACGAGGGAGCTGGGCTGTACTACTGCTGAGGTAGCGCACCTGTCAGCAGTAGTATATTCAGGCGAAGTTATCTGCTGCTTCAGTCTGCATGCGTGAATGGAGGAGCTTGGAGTCGAGATCGCAGAAGTTCTGCACTGCCTGAGTCATTGAAAGAGGAGGACGAGAAAACCGCGAGAACTGTGTCAATGGACGCTCTGCTGTATCTGCGCATGCGTCTGCGAGGCCAGTGAATGATATCGCGGGTTTCCGCCCGATGCCTGCCCGGGGACAGGAAGAAAAGCGGGCGACGCGGCATGTTGGTACCACGGCGTCTTGGGCTGCCAACGGATCTTGAAGCCGCTGTCAACACGCATTTTAATGCTGGCGCCCTCAGCCGCGTGGAGCGTCTCGATGACGGCTTGCATCAAATTTTGTGCGTTGCCAACCAAAGACTCGGTGTTCTCTTGGTCTTCTGTGGAGCCTGGTTTAGGAGAAAAAAAAGAGAAAGAAGTAAAGCTGGATGAGGGACTAGGGTGAAAAAGTGGGGGGGGAGGGGGGAGGATGGGAATAGCATCGGTAAGAAGGGAAGGATGAGGAGAGTAGAAATGATTGACTGATTTGATTGAATTCTGCAGTCACGACTATTCGTCGGCCAGTGCTAGCAGAATGAGACGGAATGATGATCTTTTACAAAATGAATGCGGGATTCGGCATAGAGCTTCCCCACAGACTCGGACTAGTACAGGTAGAATGATACACACAATGCATACATGGAAGGAGCATGCCAAAATGTGAGTGAAGAATGATTGATATGCGGTTCAAGCTCTAAAATGATTGAAAGAGGCCATCCACGGTATCGAGATTCTGCACACTTTTACGTTCACTTTCAAGTCGCGAGTCAGCTCAACAGCCTCATGGCCTAGGCCAATCCATGTGGATGTGCGGAGAAAAGTTGGTTTTCGAGGGGTCTCTTGGTTCACAAGCATTTAGCCTATTTCCATTTCGAGTGAAAGTGTTGCTTAATGAGCAGAATCTAAAGTCGATCCCACCAGAAGATGATGACGAAAAAAATATGATCCAAATGATTTCCAGCTCCGATGATATCCATCATTGGTGGACAAAGGCTCAGACCGTTTTCACCAGAAACGAGGAAGGATGCCTCATGGACTGCGTCAACCTGAATGTGGTATCAAAGCCAAACCGCTGCAGTACAACGCGAATGAGTCGTCGTCTTTTGGTGAGATCAACCTACGAATCTCTGCTTCAGGCACCTTCATGCGAAATGAAAGTCTCCACAAGAAAGCAGGACTAATAGCCTGTCCTGACTATGCTCGTCATGTGAAGGATGCAAATTTAGCATGTCTTTACCGAAATCGGGAACAGCATCAGCAAGAATGCTCCTGAAAAAACCAACAGACATGTGGCCAAAGGGGATCCTGCGTCGTTTTCTCGTGGGATCAACGCTAGCGTCACTTCATCACACACACACACGCTCTAACTTGAAATGCAAGTTGGCTCAACCACCCTCGTGAAGACTAGGTCTTACGACAATTTTTGGCTTTAAACCACCGCCAATAAGGGCCCGGCTCGTTTTACGATCGTCCGATCAGCAGGAATGAAAGACAGAAAAGTTGCTCAAAACCTGTAAACTCAACTTGACCAGAATTCGTCTTTCGGCCAAATCTCGGGAGATCCGAAAAGTCTCTTTCGAGCTGAAGAGCCGTAGGCCACTTAAACTTTTAATATGTCAATAAGAATAGAAAACAGGATAATATTAATTGTCGAATAAAAGAGAAACTATCCTTCATATGGACGCGGTTAAGCCTTAAGAAAGATATTTTCATATGAGAGTAGGGTTTCGAGACTACCAGTAACTCAGTATAATGAGATGTATTTAGGAAAGATAGCCATAAAGAATTGAACTTCATGTGCAGACCGAGAGATTGTAGGAATCAGTAGTGCCAGCATACTTGACGATGTAGGTAGTAGTTGGATGGAATATCTGCGAATCGGCTTCTGAAAGGTAGCTAACTTACGGCACAGGCTAGAATGACTTATTATTAGAACATTCAAGATAATCCTTTTGATATTATGTTGACTGGTACCCTGCGAGCGACGGCGTCGCACTATGCACCTACCAGCTTATTGGTCGAATGATGACTCGTCGGCCAGGCTGTCGTTGAATCAAGAAATGTACGAAGAAAATGCAGGTCTCGAAGAATCTCCTGAGATAAAGTTGATGTTAAAACATGATGAAGATATTAATTTTGTTGACCATAGTGTAGCGAGAAGACAGATGACAAGTCTTCTCGACTTAGTATTAACTTGAGGCTTTTACAAGAATTACTTCCAGCTCTCACAATTTTTGTCACATGTCGAACGAAAGCTCAGTCCGTCTACGCCCGAAAGGTTGGAGGACTGCCTTAACCTGAACGTCGACTTACAACGCGGATCAGCCCACGTCTTCTGATGAGATTGACTTACGAATCCTTTCATCATGTGCCTTCATACTGAATGAAAGTCTTCACACCAATATGTATCAGTGGTCTGACATCGTTTTCTCAACTTGTCCGTGTTGGATGCACCTTGCCAGAAGTCCTTTGACATTCACAGCGTCGGACCACGGACTTGGTACATTCCCAAACGTTTCGCCGGCATCGTCAGTGAGTCTTGCCATTCTCAGCACCAAGCTACAACTCATCAAAGAGACAAATTGGCCACTATGCTCGTCTCTATGACGAGTTGCAGCCCGACGCTGAGGCTGGCAAGACTCACTGACGATGCCGGCGAAATGTCTGGGAATGTACCAAGTCCACGGTCAGGCTCTGGGAATTAGGAAAACTACAATGGCAGACGACTTAAGACGACCAAGTTGCGAAACGAGGTCAGACCACTTGTATAGATTGAAACGAGATGGCAACCAAAATAGAGGCCACAACATCTTGGTCTTCATGTTGCTACGTCTAAGAAATGGAAATCTAGAACCATAGCTCGTTCTCTCCGAGAAGATGCGCCCTCTGGAAATGGCGACGTGCACCTGAGCTCATAACTCAGTCAATGGAGAGACGTCTTGACAACGGTCCCGAAGACGAGTGGGACAGAGATCAGGATTGTGGAAAGCCGATTGAAGAGATTCCCAACGTCATTCTATGTTCCCTCAAACCGAAGAACCCATTTTGTGTGGTCTTTCAAAGGATGCTCTGGGCTCGAATTGCTCAGGTCACGGTCTTGGATGGAAAAATGGTAAAAAGTGTTCCTCCTGCATGCTTGACCACTTCTCAGATTGACATCAACCGGGCCCTAAGTCGACAAGTTAACTCGAGGGTGGGCTCACGACGAGCCCACAGACTTACCCATTCTCAGACCGTCCGTGGCAATGTACAGTGGAGACAGACTGATTGGCAAACCGACAAACAACCGGGTTGTCTCTACGATACAGAGAAGCAAAACATGTGATCAAAGTACACGGATAGGCATGATCTACGGGACTAGGATAAAAGTAAACAGACAAAGTGCAAGTTGCAGTCAAGTGATCTGGAAATTCACATGCATAAACATGCACTACATTTGAGGTGCACTCTTAATAAGTGATATTTACGTCTAAAGGCTAACATTGGACAGTATTGAAAAATCCATGCTTCTTAATCGCCTTCTAAAGAGGGCTTGGATGCACTTTTGCCGATTTGCAGGCAGTGCATCATAAGATAGGAGCTTTTTTCGTGGGTCCCCATTCCCATTTAGTTTTGGGACTTGAGTTGATCCCGTTTTTGACGCTCCAGAGCAATCGGCTCGTCCAATCAGCGTCGATGAGCTCATTCATGTCGTCCTCCTGCACCCAACTGTTGCTTGGTCATTGTATCCAAAGTCACAAAAACAAGGTTAAAGCGAGCCTGAACCCCAACATTTTCGTTAATGCTGACCCTCCTTGGTACATATACACACACAAACACACACACACACACATATATATATATATATATTTAAAGGTCTAGTCCAAGCGATAGCAAAGAATATTTGCATAACCCAGCCCTGGGTGTCACTTCAGAGAAGGGATCACAAGATTGGATGCTTGCTGGCTGAGGGCTGATAGTTGAGCCGCTCACGAAGGGCAATTAATGCCATTTAACGTGCGATTCTCATTAGAAATGTAATACGTAAAAAGGAAGTAGAACTCAGGTCATGAGGGAAGAGGTGGCACGGCCAGAATTCCTCAATTTGAGCCCGGGAACACAATGACAACTAACGGCTATTATACCCGTGTGCATCTGGTCTGGTCTGAATGAGCATGCGAATCGAGATGTGTAAACGCGGATCACAAGCATGATCGCATTTTTTGCAGCCGATCATTTCATCCTGTCAGTATGTGGATTCGAGTGAAGAAAAAAAAACAATTCAAGTGAAAGCGATACCACGTCAAGCGACTGGAATGCAATAGAATACAACAATAATTTAAGCGATTTAAGCTGACTACTCACAAAGCGGAGCCATACTACTGATGTAAAAAGCACATTTGCAAAGCTGACGCGGTAAAAGAAAATAAGCTCATTTTCCAAATATCCTAATCGAAAAGAAAAGCCTTCTCTTGACATTCGGTGATGCTGCCTTGATCTCGCCGGTATACGCGCCCTGGCGATGGTGAACTGTAAGATGAATAGATCGGGTAAGGGTAAGAGAGAGAGAGAGAGAGAGAGAGAGTCGACAAAAGAATACAACCCATGAGAGTATTTTTGATAGGATGGAAAAGGGAAACTTCATCCTCTGCCGGTGCTTGGGAGGCAAGGAGCCGACCGTATTTTTGAGGTATTCGAGGCTCCAGACGAGAGCCCGAACCAGCCGGTGGCCAGTGGTGTCGGCTTCAACGACCGCATATGCAATACACATAAATCAGGCTTTGAGCATACTACTAAGACGAACATATTACTTACTACCAGTGTAAAATGCTCACAGGATCACAAATGCAAGGTGAGCCTAGACAATGCGACACGGTACAGGCAAATAAGAGAAATACAACCCGACAAGTAAGCAGAGAAAAGGCAGGCCATGATGGAAAAGTGGGTGTGTGATGCACAATTAAAGCACACAAAGGCGAGCAACAGAAATGTGTGATAAAAAGCTCTGCTCGCATAATGTCCGTTCATGACAAGCAAATGTTACCACAGTCTAGTTCAGATTGTACAGGGGCGTCCGACCAGGCTTCGTCTTCAATGTAGAAAAAAGGGCAATAGAAGAGGTTAGCTACCGGATCGCAAAGGGTGTCGCTCTCTTCTGAGCACCAGAGGCGGTGGTGTTTAGCAAGTCAATAAGGGAAAATCCATAGAAAAACCGTCCATCAGTTGTGAAGTGAACGCATTGAGGCTGAACTACAGCCACAAGACAAAATAGGCTAAATTAGCATCCCGGTGGCTACCGTCAGCTGATTTGCTCTTGTTGAAGTCATTTTTGATAAGTTACACAAAAATATAAAATAGGCCAAAAGTGGCCAAAATGGCAATCCAAAAACGCATAATGTCATATACCAATCAGGTCTGCATATGGTACAGACGACGTGTTTCGAATCACCATGATGGCAGATTTTACAATTCCTCTAGTTTCGGTTTGTAGCCATTTTTCTTACTAACCGCAAAATGGCGGTAGGCAGCAAGAAAGTACAAGAAAGGGTGAAGAGGACAACATAATGTCGAGATGTTCGAATGATGATGGTTCGTAACCAAAGAAAGTCCGAGAAAAGGGGCCAATGCAATTACCGGATAGGAAGAATATTATTGCGAATTCGTCAATTCGGTAAGTCGGCCTGCTTGCATTGAATGAGAGCGAAGAAAAACGCTGATCCGTCATAAAAATCTGCAGATACAAGTCTAGAATAACGGTTCCATAATCGCCTAGTAATGCGCCGATCATAGGATCTTCTCCACCAAACCTCACAATTGGCCGACGTTGTTCCGCAACGAATTCCCTTTAAAAGGCTTGGACTATTCAATGCTTCAGGAAGAGAGAGAGAGAGAGAGAGAGAGAGAGAAAAGGTAACATTTCCTGCCAAAATGAGAAGAGGCCACTTGAATGTTCAGCTTACTTCCATTTTGAGGGCAAGTTTGCAATGAAAAAATAGACGATCGAGGAGCTATTACTACTGATTTCGTACATACACGAACATAAGAAGGTACAAAGGCACACACACCTTGCTTCCAGAATGACATTACTTCTTTGTCGATTAATTGTGACGTAACTTTCGCTTTCGAAGGAAAAGTTGGTTGGAAGCAATTCGTGAAATGGTCTCCCACGAAACTGAAGAAAAAATCTTTGTAGAGTGAAGATTGTTGGTGCGCCGACAGTGAGTCGAGGACTTGGCATAATACAACAATTTACACTCGCCGGCAATCCTACTTCCGTGACCGGAGAGACCATTCTACGAATTCCTTTCAACCAACTTTTCCTACAAAATGGAAAGTCATACGATAATTAATTGAGTTAGCCAAATCACTTGGTACCAAAATGCATCGATTTGGAATAATATGCATAGCAGGTTGCAATAAGCAGGTGAGTTTTCTTGGCTCGCTAGCTTAAATATGATTAGGAAAATGATACCCTGTCCCGATGGTGTCCGTCATGACGGAGGAGGGCTTAGCACATTTTACGAATAAAAGTTGGGTTTCGAGAAATATCTTGTTTCACAATTGTTGAGCTTACTTCCATTTCGAGTGAAAGTGTTGCGTGAAGAGATTCACCAGAAGACGACGCCGGATTCCTCTTGACCAGCTGGCGATTGGCTTTGCTGGTTCATTCATGCTGACGCTGTTTCCGAGGCAATCTCGTTCGATTCCGGTGAAAAGGTGCTAAGCTTTCGTCCGTCATTTGACGAACATCATCAGAGCAAGGTACCATCGTCACAGACAAATTCAAGCTAACGAGTCAAGAAAACTCATCAGAAAATCCCTAAAAAGTGGTATATATACTCTATATCTGGCCTCTTTGATCAGATATAAAGTAATTTGGTTAATTACGGTCATATGTCAACCTCGAAGCCTGTGAGTGTGTCTGCTTCTGTATGTTATGTGCCTGTTTGTGTTCGCTTAGGCACGAAACCCGTAGTTTTCGGCCATCAAGCTTTGATGATTCCTATCTCCCCTTCTCTACCTACATGTCCGGTTTTGTCGATGAGCCTATTTTTTGCTTTTGGTCTCAATGTGAGAGAGAGAAAGAGTGAGCTAAAAGCACCAAACACTTTCACTCGAAATGGAAGTAAGCACAACAATTGGCACATTTTCACTGGACTCGAAGAAGATTGCCTCGTCTTCCGGTTCGATCTACCTTTGGATTCATTCCTCACACACACTTTCACTCGGAGTGCAGGCCCAACACTTGTAGACCAAGAGACTCCTTGAAACCCCACTTTCCTTCACAGAGGAAACTTACTCTAATATTAATTACTTCTGGCCGACTAAGCGGATCAAGCAGTCTGGCAAAGGTCATTTATAAAAATAGTGATCCCTAAATTACCGTTTTCTGACACCTTCTGGAGCATCGGAAAGTTCCATTAGGCCAATAATTTGCACTGACTATTGGAAGGTATAGTCGAAGATGGGAGATGATCTGAGGTCGGCTGGCGTAAGGCTGTCCGGGGATTCTGAGAATCCTATAGAAGAGAAGATTTGAAGACCTCTGTTTCGGCCGCAGACTCGTTTCACTGTATAAATATGGTTTGACCTCATATTCGCCACTTGCTAGCTTTGTCAAGGTAGCCCAGATGAACGCATCTGCCCGAAGTGCTCTGCCAGAGTAGTGATGACAATTTTGAGCAGACAACTTCGAGAAAAGTGCCTTTATCTAGGTCACCCTGACAACACGATCAGGTTGCTAAAACGAGGTCAAACCATTTCCGAGCAAAGTAAGTTTGTTTAGTGTGGGGGTTGTTTGACCTTGTTTTCGCAACATGGTCATGTTGGTAGGAGGACTGAGAGGAACGCACCTAGTCCAGAGTCCATTGTCTGCATAATCATGTCCAAAGTTGAACCGTGGACGTGGTATATTCCCAAACGTTTCGCCGGCATCGTCAGTGAGTATCACCATTCTTA